ATGCTCAGGGTCGGCACAGGCAAACCTGATACTCTGCCATTCTCTGCCAGCACGTGCCAAAATTAGTTCTCCATTTGGTGGTGGCCCTCTGAGAGCAATTCCCATTGAGAAGGGAACAAAGGCCGCGACCCCAAGGTCAGAGTGTAATGCAGGAAGCATGACCTCCCCTTTGTTCAGAACAGCACTGTTTACTCTGCCTAAGTAAAGATCACCAATACATTAACTAAAGAGGATTAAAAAGGTCATATCCCCAGGGATGGAGCTCATGCAAGTGGCAACTCTCTTCAGTCACTAAATCATTTGACTTCCCACTACCCCTCCTTCAAAATAGAGACACCTTAAGCTGCCACAGCTTAATGTCACAGTATTTCCAGAGCCAAAGTCTGTACAAATTCCTGTTTCAAACCCAGGTTATTTTCTGCACAGCTAGCCAGCTGTTTTGAAGTAATTTTTAAAGTTATCAAAATATTTTAAGTGAAAACTATCACCTCAATACAATTTTTCCTTTTATATTTCCTGCTGAAAGTTTCTGAGTTGATTTATTAAATTGTTTGGGGTCTTAAAGTGGTTATTAAAAAGTGCAATTTTTTGTAGCTATTATAAATGAGATTCTTAAAATATCCTGTGGTTTAAAGTAGTCTGTGGATGGGCAGAGAAGGTGCTTGTTGCTGTAGACAATTGCTAAGTCCCTGATGGTTCACGAGCAAAGAGGAGAACAAGAAAAACAAACTGAAAGTACGCTACCTAAGAAAATTCACATATGCTGATACCTGAGCTTTATTGGGCTACAGAAGCACTTCTTTTGGCTATTAAGCTTCCTCTTATCAACTTTTTATAATATCTTTGAACATCATTATTAATATGAATATTAACAGAAGTATCTCTTGAAACATCTAAATTAATGCTGCCTTGTTAAAATATGAGAGGCAACACAGCCAGTTAGAGAGGAGTGCCTCCTTCCCATTCTCACCTCTAATCCACTTGCCTGCTGGATGATCCCAGCTTTTGCTTTGCACCTTGGTTTCCTCATCTCTGGGGATGTGGCTCACTGGGATGCAGATTTTAGCATCAGTTACTCGGCCAGGCTGGGAGGAAGAGAGCATTTGTAAGGGAGTGGTCTAGACAGATATTTTCCCTTCTCCACCCTCAGGCAGTAGCACCTCTGATGAAGCTGAACATTATCTTAGAGGTTCCAGAAGAAAATAATAGGAATAAAGCCAGGCAGGCAGGGCAAGCTCTTGATCCAAGTCTCTGGCCCAGGGAGCTCAGCAGCAGAGACAAAGCCCACCTGGGGTAAACGCAGCTGAAATCAGCACGAGATCACCATCATCGCACCAACAGTGCCAGAGCCAAAGAACAAGGTCCTGGAGCACCAGGGTACAGCAGTGACTGCAAGGGCAGGGCTGAGAGGTGAGTGGGTGGGCAAGGACAACATAAGCATTGAGCAAAGCTTTGTAACAGGCTGAGGCAAAGAGGTACCTTGTCCAGAAAGCAAAAGCACTGGACTGAAACAACTAGAACAAAGAATATACTTAGAAATTAATATTTGACAGTGGAGAGTGGGAGCATAAGTACTAAACCAGTGACACAAGGACAATTTACTGACATACATTAGAAGCAGGAAGACTGCACAACAGTTGTCTGGCAAGTCTGAAATAGTACTGGGAAACAAAGGGAGTGAAGAGAGAGGACAAAAAACATTGCAGAAAAGGTAACGGCTGATTATGACCTTGAGCTGTTTAGTCCTACAAAAGAGGAACCTCACCCTTTCCCACCCTGTATGACCATATTGACATTTCTTGTTAGCTGGGTTCCTGATCTGGGGTATTCATTAAAAAATACAATATACCAATTACTTCTTCCAGTGGAAACTCCTAGTCTTTTCCAGTTCTTGTTCACCTTCTCACCAGCCAACAGCACTTTCCCTCTAAGATAGGAAGCAACAACACCACTACGGAGTTACAGAATGAGATGTCCTTTCTCTTGAACAGGAAAGCAGAGAAAACATGACTTTGTGACACAGAATTCTTGTACAATCAATTTTTTTTGGGGGGTGGAGCAATCTTGACCCTACCACATATTCTGAGATACACCCCTTTATCTCCTGATGTCCAGAAATCCAGACAGACCCAAAGGTATCTTTTAGGTTAAAAAGAAGTTATCAGGCTTAATACAGATGGAAAACTCTATGATATTCAAGTCATCAAATTGTCCCCCCTCTGGTCCCTTCAAACAGCAAATCCCATTAATCAATTCTTTTGCAAGTAAAGGGTGAAAGAGCAGCAGACAGCAAAGCAGAAAGTGCTGAAATAACTGGATAAATTAAAAGGCAAGCCACTCCAAGGACATACGCAGGCTTTCGGAAGCTGCTCAAGGTTGGAGGCAGGGTTTCCAACAAAAATCTGCACTCTCCTATCAGGAATGAAAGGGTAGCAGTCCTCAAAAATAGCCACAAATGATGATCCAGATTACATGCCAATGAATTCTGTGACTTAGTAAACCGTCTGGAAGGCTACTTTAAAAGATTATAATTTTAATGCCTGAGCAGGGATTACGTAATGGAGAGAAAAACAGCATTGCTAACATAATGAAAATATGTCTTTTTTCACTGGGAGGCACCCACAGAAGAAATTATTATTTAGTTGGCCTTTCAAAAGGGTTTTGACAATGTGACTCATGAAGGCCATAAAGAAAATGCAGTCATCATGACAAAGTTGGAATCGTGATTAAAAACCAGCTAAGCAGCCAAAAGTAAACTGCTGGAATGAAAAGACACTTTGACACAAGAAAAGTTACTAGTTGCTGCATGCAGAGGTCATGCTGGAATCAACTTTTACCTTTAGTTAGTGGTCTAGAAAGATCAGCTGTAAAATAAGAGTGGCAAAACTGACAGGCAAGGGGAGGGTATTGGATTACTGAGGGGTTTAACAAAGTTGAGTGAATATGAAACATAGTAAATGTTTTTTTTATAATTGCTAAGGAGATCATATTGCAACATTGTCAAAGGGAAGAGACCTGGGTGCCATCATGACAAGTTGACCAAAGCTTTCAAGGATAGGCAGCAATGTCAGATAAGCCAAGCAGGAAAACAGGCTCCTGTATTCAAAACCTTACCCTTCTACTATCCACCTGCCAGGGAGATACCTTCCTGGAGAATGCTGTCTGCAGTTCTTGTTGCCTTCCCTCTCTACAGCTACAGCAATCACAGGACTGCAAGGGCAGGTGACTGAAACAGTATGACTTCCAAGAGACTGCCACATATGAAGACAAAGTAGTCAAACTATTTATGGTGGTGAGCACATGAGCAACAGGGAAGGCAAAGAGAGTTCGAAAGTCAGGAACTATAGCCTGACTCTCACCTACTTCCAATCCTGAATGGGAAATTACTCAGTTAAATAAAAACAAAAACAAAAACAAAAAAAACTAGTAAATTTATACTATAGGAATATATTATTTTACCACATGCAGTCTGAGCATGTGAAAATCAGTCCATCATTAAGGGACATCAGTAGGAATCTGAAAGAACAGAGTTCTACACATAGCCTACAAAAATACAGTGTTAAATGGGATTGCTGGGTGGAACGACTATAAAGACATTTGCACAAAGCTACGATGAAACCACTGGCCAAGGGATCCACCTGGCCCACTTTCTGGCAAGGACAGGGTATTCCAGAAGGAACCCATGTTAGTTATCTTCATCCTCCACTCTCTTACCACCCAACCTTTTGTAAAAAATGTCAGGGTAAACCTGGCATTAATTAGCCTGTGGAGCTACCCAAGGCAGTAACTTACTCTTACACTTTGTATGGCCAAAGGAGAGGGCAAAGCACCAGACAAGTTCCCTTGGACTGATGTGAAGCCATTCACCCCCTCCTCAGCCAGGGGCTGACACAGCCATGCCAGTGCCTCACTCCCATTTCACCACAGCACCTCAAACCGTGCATGGCTACTTTGCTACCTACTCTCCCCCCTCACAAATAATTAGCAAGAGCCTAAATTGTAAGACACTGTTTTACCAAGTAAATACATTTCCTTTTTTATCTTACTATCTTTTTTCCCCATCTGCACATTGTTATTTGCAAAAACCACTTAACAATTATGAGAGATTCCAAGATGTGTGTCAGATCCTGGGATATTGCCACTCACATACTGGTTTGCTACACTCAGCCTTTGGTCTTGTGGCTCACAATTCACCCGAGCTGTGAGAACAGCTCACCACAACCCACATGCTGCTGCTCCTCAAAGGAAGACAAGGGTACATAATTAAGAGATGATGAGCTGAAATGTAAGACAGGAGATGTGGGAGCAGATTCTGTAACCACACCGGTGAGTGGTTTTACTACTAAAGAAGTTTCTTCACCTCTGTCTTCTCTCATGTAGAACTTGCACATTTTTAAAATACATTTGCAGCAGCAGAGGGAAAAAAAAATGACTGCTACAATCATGCCACTGCAGAAAAATAGTTTTATCAATTGTATGGAATTAAGATTGTAAATCAGCATTATTAACAAACTGTCAACACTTGTTACAAGGGCAATGTCTTAAAAAAAAACCAGTTTTACTAAAAATACCATCAAAATCTCATCCCACAAGAATTGTGACCTGAAAATGCTCTCACAAGTGGTCATAATATAAAGAACTATGGACAGAAATATCTGTGTGTCATGTGCCAGCTGGAGGACTAACAGCATGGAAATGAAAATCCAGAAGTGGGTACAGATCTACTCTGGAAGATACAGGATCAGTCCCTCGATGGTCATTCAGCATAAACAAAAAGTCAAACCACTTTTCTTATTATTCTGTAGAGCTGAAACTAGTTTTTGTTGTTCTTACCATGACTTATTAGTGAGAGAGTTGAGAGGTCTGGAGCAAAACCAGGTGTGAATACAGCTACCAAACTAAAGTGAGGACCACTGACCGACCCTCAGAAACCAGCACAAGCAATAACAGGATTACATGCTCACTTGTTTTCCAATTTAAACAAATAAATTCAGTTTTACCTAAAAGAAGGCTTCATTTTGTCCTGATGAAGAGCTACATCTCCACAAGGCAGTGATCCTCTACAGGGCCAGAGCCTCCCAGCAGCAGCCACACCCTTCTCTTCCTCATTTTTTTCCACTGATCATAAAATATTTTCGGAGCCAGGCCCTGAAAAAACCAAAACAAATACCACATTTTTAATAGACACCAAATATCACATTGCTGATTTAATTAGGCAGATTAGAAACAAATAAATGTATTTTCACACACATATTTTTATTTTCTGTTTCATTTCAAAGAAATTCGGTAGGCTTGATTTGTCTCTCTATTCAAACCAAAGGTGAGGAACACTGAAAAGGTGTTGTATGCTGAGGGCAGAATCAAGCCCTCCAGATGGCTCTTCTTAGAGTTTTATGTAACATGTTGTCCATTGGTACTGGAAAAATTCACAAGTCAGGGCTTTTCAGAGCACCTTCATACAAGCCTATATATTTTGTAGCAGTAACAGATGCCAACGCAAGACAAGCTGAGAGAGACATCCTGGAGGTGGTCTCTTCAGCCCATGGGGTTCTATGGATTCGACACTCGGGCAGATCTAACTCCAACTTTTTTAGGAAAAAAAAAAAGTCCTGGTCCACTCAAACTCTCCCAGATCATCAAATCATTCAGATCACAGTATCTGCAGCACAGTTAATAATGATACAGGAGAGCAAGTATCACACAACACGTCCTTACTTTTATTACTAATATTTCACACCATTTATTTGATTGATAATTTTGCCGTACAGAGAACTATCTGGAAACTGATTGTTGCTATAAAATGTTTTGCATATTGTGTCATCTGCTGGCTTTAATTCATTAGCTAAACAACACTGTAATTATACATTTCCTATTCTATTTAACTAGAAAATATTCACACTAAAACAAAGTGATAAAACCAACTTCCTCCCATATCTTGAAAACCACCCACTTATTTGCAAATAACCCGCTCCAGCATTCAACAAAATACAAATATTTAGTGTTCAAAACACAACATTTAGGGTTCAGTAACTTAAGCTCAATTTTCTTTTGCAAATAACTGCACATATATATTTTTGTTCTGCTATCATTAGGTTTGTGAAATTAATATTAAAATAAGCTGTTTGCTTATTTAAATTCAGAACTAAATAAGCAACCTGAATCCACAGTTTTATGATATTATCCTTGCTGAAAAACCAAATTAATCTTAAAATAGGAACACTGAGGCTATGCTGAGATGTCTGTCAGGGGATGACAACATATATTACAGATAGTACACTAAATCATGCCAAATCCAAAATAATTTTGTAAGCCCAGCCCCTTCTACATATTTATTCATGTACAATTCCATACCCTTCAAAAAAGACTGTTATAAGCAAGTGATCCAATCGTCAAGGTGTTGTTCCCAGTTCCATTCAGTCCTGCATCCTAACAGGTTTCCAATCAGCCATTCTGAAATCTTAAAGCCTGCCTAGTGCTGTATTTGCACACACACAGTAAAATAGAATTAACTTGCAGTGTGTACCAATCCTTAAGTATTTGCAGACACGTTTATTCTCACAGAAATCTTTGTTTCCTAAAATGCAGATATTAGGTGTGACGTGTATCTCCCATCAGACTGGAATGCTCCAGAACACCACTGACTTTTAAATCCAAATACACGGCAAGGGAAATGCCAGCACGTTCAGATTTTACTCCCTACTAAGATTCCCCGCTCCGAGCCCTCCCAGCCCTGTATTCCATATTGTAACAGCACACTTACACCAGACTGCATTCCTATTTACGGAGCTGCTCTGCAATAAAGGAGTAAAGAGGAATCCAAGGGTTAACCAAAGGAAAAAACCAAAACAACAAACCCCAGCACCGAAATGCCCAGCCATGCTGCAGACCTTGCAAGAAGAGAAAAACATTCAGCAGACAACAGCCCAACAAAAAGCAAACAGAATTTAGTGCCGCTATTGCCTGGATACCAGCTTGGGATTTAGGCAGCCTTGGATTACAAGGACTATTCCCCTGAAAATCCAGCCCACAGTTCCTGCACTGTTTTCTACCAATACCACATCCAAACTGTGACTAAACACCTCATTATGCTCCTCTGGCACTGTCTGAAAGCACACATATTGTACAATTTTCTGGGGCACCTAAAAGCAGAGGGGAAAAAAGCAGCTATTTTTCACCAATCAGTAATGAAATGATGAACGGCACGTTCCCTGCAAAAGCTTGCACCATCAGGGCATTTTCTTTCACCCCCCTTTTCTTTCTGTGTAGGCAACAGGTGATAAAATACAGCCCCAGCCTTCAACTTTAAAAATAAAAAAATGCATAGAGTCTAGAGGAAATCTACACTGTAACACAGTCTTTTTTAATAAATTAAAATTGAATGAAGAGGTTTAACTGGGCCTCTACATTGGCATCAGAAAGTAAATGCTTTTCTTAATACTCATTTGTAGAGGTTTTCATTTAAAGAAAATACAGCCCTCACAGTTACAAATACTAACCAGGGCCTTGAGGTAACAATCTGGTCTCGACAGATCTTAAAAGAGAAAACCCAAAATGCATTTTCAAAGGAACTGAATGCCTCAAATATTTCACCACAATCTCCTTTTCCAATAACTTGCTAATTGATCTTAAATACATAGATGAATTATGAGGCAATAACCTCCAGTTTTCTTACCTCTTACTCCAAACATTAAATGCTGATTTATAGATATCTGAAATATTTAATTGGCTGTTCATGCCACTTAAACAGTTTATCTAATTTATGAGAAGTAAGGATCCCACATTAAAGACTGCTTCTATTTTCTCCTTTGACCTGCACCACTTCAAAAGCATTTTCCTCGTCTATTATCATTTAGAAATAGTCTCCCTTTGTGCACTGGACATGCTGCTGTAGCTCAGAAGGCCGTGGCAGTGACATGATTCTCTTGCCAGTCCCCATGTTGCTCATTAAATAATTTTACTCCCATATGTACACACGCAGCTGGTCAAGAAATGACTTTGCTGCATTCAGCTACATCTAGGGCACTTCCACAGCAAGTCTTGAAATAAAACCCCACTGAGCTACAAACCCGATGAGCTTCCCTTGCTGTGCATTTCCGAGCCTCTCGTTGCTCACGCTATGTTTCAAAGCTGAGCTGCGCGGTAGCACCACACCTGCGTCTGTTTGAGCAAAACCCTCATCACAATAGACTAAAAACGGCTCACTTCTGCTAATGCCCACTCCTCAATCCGCAAGTAAATAGACTCTTTCTGTAAAGACAGGATTTCCTGAAATATTTACATGCCTAAAAAACAGCTTTCTGTTTTGGAAAGCTTTGCAATTTTTTCCCTTTGCAAAAATTCAGCTTTGCAGCCCCAGCGAAGAGCTCCGGGTACAGCAGATGGTTAAAATTCTGCATCATTTTTGAGAGCCTCAGAAAAGCACTGCCTTTTTTCGGGGGAGGGCGGGAGTGGAGGAGAGGAGAGAAAAAAAGCTGAGAACAGCAATTTGCAGCCCTTTTTTTTTCCTTGACAGCAGCAAGCCCCGCCTCAGTCTGGTCCTTCCTCCAACCTCTGCTAACCTAAAAACCAGCGCCAGTCTGGCAGCGGGCCAGGGATTCAAAAGTAAACATTATCCTCCTGCCATTTTTTTAGTGCTGTTTATAACATCCTGCTCCCTTTTTTTTATTATCCCCCTCATCATAGCTGAAATCCCCGGCTCTGCCCCGGATTGTGTGTCTCTCCGCAGCTCCATGCGGAGCTCCGAGCCCGCTCCTGCGCTCCGCGGCAAACCTGCAGAGGCGTCCGAGGGATGTCCCTGGCCGGGGCTGCGGGCTGTCCTGGACGGAGAGCGGAGCCAGGCGCACCTTTCCTTGTGGATGTCCCGTGGGATGGGGCGGGACGTCCTTCCATCACCACCGCGCGGGCTCTTCCCCGCTCCCCACACAATGCACTCGCCTCTCCCAGCGCTGCAGCTGCCGCAGCAAATGCGGCTTTTGCCTCCGCGTCTTCCCCATTTGCTTATTTAATTGTACCAGGAATGCTTAAAAACCAAACCCTTCCATAGGCGGACACAGCCCTGCACCTGACTCTTTGTTATCCCTACCGCTCATCCCCATTCCCGCTCCGCGCTGCCTCCTCCCATCTTGGGCTGCTCCTCGCTTATAAAGGCTCTGCAAAACCCCGACTCATTAGACTGGCTGCCCGTAGGTGGCTTTTTACCCATTCGTGTGCTGCACTGAGAAGATAGCGGGCACAGCGGCGGGAGAAGGAAAGGACATTTAAAAAATAATAATTTAAAGGAAAAAAAAGTAGGGAAGGAGGGCGGGAAGGAAGAATAACTAAGAAATACATCCATGGGGAGCGCGGGGTGGTGCGGCAGGAGCGCTGCGGGAGGGGCGAGCGTAGGCCCGCCAGCACGGCCATGTTGTGCGCGGGGTCAGCGCGGGGCACGGCGCTGCAGCCGCGGGGATTTGCGAGAGTGACCCGGCAAACCCCCCCTCCTGCCCGGCGGGACTAGCGAGGAGCCCTGGCCAGGGCCCAGCCCGACCGCGGGGTCACCGCAACAAAAGCGCTCCCTCGTTATTTATTGATGGTCGGGGCGTGTGCGCGCCGAGGAGGAGCCTTTGTGCGCGCCCCGCACCGCCACGCGGGACGGCCCGCGGGCTCATCAATAATTGCTCGCCATCTCCATATTGAAATCGCGGGGCAGCGCATGATTAATTAAGGAGCAGAAAAAGCAAGTGGCGAACGCGAAGGCCCGGCCGCGTTAACCCCTTCGCGCCCAGGAACTCGCCGGGAATATTAATTAATGCTGCTGCTTGTGTGTCGTTCGGCGACCACGTGAGGCCTCTGGAAAAAGCTCGGGGGAACCACGGACTACTGAACAGAATTTGCTGCAATCCGCTCATCATTTGGGGGAAAAAAAAAGCCCCTTATAAATCTTAGCTTGACTGTACATTAATGTATTTTCATGCAGCGAGGTAAAACAATATTTATATAAAGTTATACATATATTTATATAACAATAATTATTATATAAAGTTATTTATATAAAGAGATGGTTGCAATTAAAATCCTGTAAAACGTGTAATCTAAAGCCGTCTGAGTGCTCCAGACCATGCAAACATTCCCACTGCAGCGCTGGAATTAACCGGCACGCGGGGTCGCGGCTCTCGGGCAGCAATGGAGCAAAGAGCAGCAGCCACCAAAGCCTCCAACCCCATGTGCCAGGAACTCCGGGGCTGCTCCCATTACAGCGCCCGGTGGGCACAGACATGAGCACATGCGCGCTCTCTGCAATCCCTCACCCATCCCCACCCCGCCCCAACCCTTTTGCGATCCTCTCCTTGTTTTAACACCCAGCTATTCCAGAATTTCATCTCTGACCCTTTGGTCATTTATTCCCATTTAATCTTCAATTCCTTTGGTTATTAGTTAGCATCATTTACAGCTTTTCCTGCAGACAGGCCCTTTATATGGACTGTGCACTAAACTAAAACTAAGCACACATCCAATTGACTTATTAAACTCCCTTTTTGCAGGGTATGAATTCTGGCTGTGACCGGCCAGGAGCTCCAGCAAGTGGAGTTTATACAGACAGGGCTCAGGCGAGGTGTGGTCAGTTTGCAGCCTGGTACCAGCTTCATCCAGGCAGCTCTAATCCTATTGGAATAGTTCAGCACATCCACTGATGTTCTGTGCAAGGACAGACAGGACAGGCTCCAAACTGACACTAAGTCACGTATAGGGCACCACTTTTAGGACCCTAATGCTACCCACTAGATGCTTCCCATCAGCAATTTTCCCCATCTACACATTAACAGACACAGAATGTCCCCATTTCCTCTACAGCTCCACGGGAGAGCTGAAACACCTCTGGGGCGATAAGGGATGACCAAGTTTTGTGCTTCCCTTCCTGCTATTGACATTCTATAAGAGTTTTTACTGTTTGTTTATCCTTGTAATAGGTAAAGCCACACTGGGCAACCCATCAAAGCCATGCTGTGACTACCACTGTTAGGAATGTTTCCATCCCTTCACAGATCAAAATATATTCTGCTGTGAAATATGAAGAGCAACTTGTTACACCAAAAGGTGTTGCACTTGAGTTGGCATCCAACAAACAAGCAAAGTGCAGAGGGAGCAAATTTCAGCACATAAAGACTTAGGGAGGCAGGCAGGCCCAAACTCTTCAGATACTTGTTTGTGTTTAGAGGCTACTGAATTCTTTGGAGGATATAATCTACTAGCTATAAAAATGTTAATAAATACTCAGGTCAAAATGAAAAAAACCCTTGCTGGTTCTTTCCTATGATGTTTGCTCAGTGTTGTCACGAAAGCAAATACCAAATAATTTGTCCAAATGAAAGTTGCATATACCAAAATGTTCATCTGCTTTTCTCTGGTTTAAAGCAGCATGGCATTGTCAGAGCTAATACACCAAATAGTCAAACTAAGGATGAAACACAGCAGTAAGACTAGTTTCTCATTTCTAAAATAATTTTCCAAACATGTAAAGATATGCTTTTAAAAGAATTAAATGTACACATAACATTGGAGAAGTCAGTAATAATTTTAGGTTCTTTTTTTTTCTCATTTCTTACCTACATGTTCAGTTACAAACTTTTCACTCTTATGAAGCTTATGGGAATTGGCTAGTGATTCCAAATTCTGCATTTTGGTTTAAAATGATGTCTCTGTGGTTTGTAGCTCAAAGGAGAATAAGGAAGCTGCATAGTTGTATCTTACTAAATTCTAATGGATAAGACACTCCCTTAAAAGTCTTCACTGCTTTCTTTAAGTGATCCAAAAATATGGCAGGTGGGGCTAGCACAACTGCCAGGTGCTATGACTGCCAGGTATCTCCTGTTACAAGACTGCATTTTCAGTTGCTTAAAAAGTTTGCCAAACAAACTCTTTGGCTG